ATCTGGTTATTAATCAACGTCATTATTTCATGCTACATCTATCTTCCCTTCTCTCTCTCTCTCTCTCTCTCTTCCTTTTCCCTTAAATATAACTAAAATAACTAACTCCAGTAAAGAAACATTGATATGAAGCTGCTGCCGCTGCTACTTACAATCAGATGATAATCACGATCACAATTCCCTCGCAGCTACATATCGACGAAAGAATCGCGATGTATAGTCGCCATCATCGACGTTGGAAAAGACGCGCGAACGTAGGGTGCCGGTTGGTCGACGTTGCTCGCGCTTCTAGCGGTCCCATCGTACCAACTCCTCTCTCCTCTCAACTGTCTGCATGAATATTCATCGCTTTTCCGGCCGTCGCCTGGTGCGCGAGCGTGCGTTGCTCCCAATTTGTCACACACCGTGGCATTATCCCATTTCGCTAATAAAGTAATATTACGGGGAACCGGGCACGGGCTGATATACTTTTTCACTCTGTTGCCATGGCGCGCAATTATGCAACTTGGTAATTGCACGGCGCCCTGCCCGTCAGCTAGCCGTATCATCGCGTAACGAGACGCGACTTTATTACCGAGTTCCTCTGCGTCCGCCTTCATCCACCTTGGATGACGTGGAAAAAAGAAACAACGTCGTCTGTTCTTCTTCGTGAACGAGGTCTCAGACGACAGAAAAGGAGCACGAGACACAAGGAAAACCGTGCGTGCCGTCCAAAAGTCAGGCTGACCCACCCTATAGATCGGATAGTGGACAAATTAACGCGATCGCAGATGTTATTGATTAAAATTCATATTGTTTATTATTGCATAGTTTACTATTAGTTATACTAAAAATTGAAAGTTAGAGTTAATCATAAAACGTATTCGGCTGCGAATCGTTCGATGTTACAACGAAGTGGTAACGAGGGAGAATAGTCTGTTTACGCGTTTACTATGTTTCAGGACGATCGAAAGAGGCTCGACGAATCGGCGACAGGGAGAGGGCGAGATGGTGGACGGTGGCAAGGTAAGTGGCTAGTCTCGATCGATTTTATCGATAATCGTGGAACTTGACTTTTCCTTTTTACGGAATCTCGTGTGATTATACGCGTCTGATCATATGCTTGACGTGCTTCTCACTCTTTTATTTTTTCCTCGGAAGTTTGCTTGCTCGTTGTCGCTGTTCTCAAGGTGCTTGTTGGGTTTAAACGCTTTGATAACATGGCAGTGTTGTCCGCAATAATGTAATACGAGTGTCGTCGAGTCGCGATGCTAATTAGATTTTTTTAATGACCCTACCCTTTCGCTTGGACGCTGCGCGAGATCTTTATCGAGACGTTCCGTGCGTTTAACGTGTGTACAAGCGAAGGGAACTTGAATGTCGCGTTCGAGAAACTTGTGAGAGAAACTTCTATCCAACTTCTAACGATTACGATTCGTTTATGGCTTTCCGAGAATTCTCGAATATTTCTTGTGCGAAATCTAAAATTCAGAGATATTTAAATTACTCGATGCATCGCTTAGTACACATTGTCCAAAGTATAAGATATTACAGATCTAACAATCTTTCCATTTTTCAAAAGAATTCGAAACAAATTATGTAATATTACTTGCGTACCGTATACTAGTTTCTAGTCCGAAAATTTTCCATTTTCTTGCTTCTGCTCACACGAATCTCAACGAGTCTACCAATCTCCCTCTCGAAATCTCCTCAGCAATCGAGTGACATTCGATTTCGCGACAGACAGGTATTACTCTGCCTTCTCAGGTATCCGCGACATTTGCCAGCGGACCGAGCGAGAGCCTCGTAATTAGAGTTTTTCTCGGAGAAGACGCGCGCGTGATCGCGTCCGGTCGCACCGTCAAAGATCAGCGCCGACCGATGCCGATAGCCCGCGAGAAACCGCATCTCGTGTCCGCTAACCGGTATGCCGAATCGAAAAAAAGTCGCAACAACATGGAGTGCGTGTCGCGCGATTCCGAGGACACCGATTTCACGGCAGATACATTAATGCCGGAGCCGCAGTCCTGTGCACGTTAGAAGCCGTCGAATAAATTTCCATCGGGACACGCCTCTGGATGCTCGATAATTCACTGGACTTTCTAACTAACGGAGAGGACGAGAATCACGAGAAAATCGTTCGCCTGCGCGATACCTTCCTATTACACGATTACGTTTGCGATGTTCTTGCACGATTTACGTTGGTTAATGGCAAAGGACAAGTATAGAAAGGACGTTAATTATACAGGCCAAGATGGATTGGTTAATTTCGTAGGAATTATTACTACCATTTCGTAGAATTCGTTTTAAGCAACCACATGAATGGCACAGAGATTGCTGTTGGTTATTTAAGGAGACCGTGCCTCATTCTTTGACACTGGAAAATTTGTTCTTCTGTTCGTTATTTCCTTATTTCGTTATTTATGTGACTAAGCTTGTGTATATTATTGTTGAAATGGAAACTACTCTGACGACTCGTTACTTCCACGTTACGTAATCTACGATAATAATTCAAGCGAAGATATCAAACGATGACAGAAGCTTCGAAACTCGTAGAATTTTTATTATTTCACGCGTCAATGACCGCGTTCGATTCTATCGCATTCACAATTTTCTCAACATGCCGACAATAAGCAATTTATATTGTAAAAAAACCATCTCCGAAATTATACTGTCGATATCTCGAAATGGAAAATCATGGTCCTGTTACTCGTGTTGGAAGGCGGTTGGACGAAAGGAGAAACGGTCCCCGGCGCGATCGATCGTTCCTGATTACGTAATCGGGCTTTCGAGGTCGGGCCGCAAAGTTGCTCGGCTAAAAGATGCTCTTTTGCCCCGGAGCGCGCTTAATCTTATCGCCGGCTAGGCTTTTGTCGGCCAGTTGATGCTTTCTCCAAGCTTTCTTATCGAGCCACGAGCCACGAGAAGCGCACGATTCTCGCCTCGCTTCCGCTTCGCTGGCTTCGTCTCGTATCGGCTCGTTTCCACTTTTGTCGTAGCTCGTAGCCCGACCCACTGGTAGAAAACAGCGCCGCATCACAGCTTTTAACACCGACGATACACGCGATATCCGCAACGATATTCGTGTCGTTTATCAGTGCACTCTATTAGCGACGCGATTCGATGTGCTTTATGCTTCGTGATACTTTGCCGGTTACGCGGTACGTGTTAGGTGCAGTGGTGAATAGCAAAAGTGTTAGGGGAAGTAATTATGGTGGGAACTGATCTGTGTTTATCAGTTTACGGTAAGGAAAAATTGCCGTAAAAGAGTGATTTTTTAATTTGAGTAGTGGAAATAATAGCTCAAACTATAGATCGCAATCGAAGATGATACGATTTGAAGTACATCGAGTTTTACACGCTGAATTATTTTACATTGGTCACGATGTTTTATCGTTGTTTTTGTCGTTATGCCAATAGCAACTAATCAAAATGGAAGTTTATATTTTTGTCCGAAATAAGTTGGCTGTCCAAGGTCGCTGGAAGCTAAATCCCCATTATACTTAATTAATCAACTTCCTTATTTGCGTTCATTATATCATTAATACGGATGTTTAGCGTATTTGGCCGATTAAAACAAACTTGGTGAAGACCAGTAACACATCGCTGGAAACAAGTTTCCTTAATGTCTATATCAGCCAGAAATGCAAGCTTGGAATCGCAATCCTCGTGGTAACAACTCGTAATCAATATTTATGGCGGGAAACGAGGAAACGTCTGGAGCTCAGAAAGAAATAGAAAGGGAAAATGTTGCGCTTTGCCCATAGATGGTTTCCATTTGAAAGAATTCGACGCCAATTTACAATTACGTATTACGATTATAACAATTCTGTCGGCTTGATGTCGACAAGATTTTCCATCAGTCAAGGATCGAAGAGAAGGAAAAACGAACGTGATCATAAAAATACCGATACCAATTGCCTCTACGTTCCATCATCCAACATCCAGCGATAAAACGAGAAAGGACGAACATATTTTCTAGTACGAAAACGCTGGAAAAAGGAAGCTGAGAGTCACGAGCAAGAAGATGCGTGTCCCAACCGGGCCAGTTACGTCGTGGATTCACGAATCCAGGAAGCGTGTTAGCCGGAACGTCGCCGTTC